TAGAACCCCCCTTGAGTGCCTTAACATACTTCAAGCGGTCTCCATAAACATTATAAAAGAAAACTGGAAGGCATGTACTCTACATTGAAAACAAATACAGGCCCACGCTTATACTCAAAAGCCCTACAGGACCTGCGAGTGATATGTGACCTGGCTCTTCAATATCCTGTCTCTGGTAGTGATAGTTGAGCCAGGCGAAACCAAACAACAGCCACGACGCAGGCGATTTTGCCACGCGGATACGTTCTAGAGCAGAGATGACAGTCAGCGATGTAGACCGTATGAGTATTTTGGATCGGAAAGGAGCATACCACAAGGTTGCATGAGTCCCAATTCGGGTAGGATGAACAACCCGACAACCACAAGATGGATCATCGTCGCGGTAGACACAGCCCCTGAGCGAAACATTGTTAGTTTCCATGACTACTGTAATGGAATAAGCGAGGTGCAACGTACAGATAGTGACTGCTGCAGCAGTTGTTTCCTGCCAGTCTTCAAGCATATCCTCTCGAATGGAGCGATAAATACACAAGCCAACGTCGTTTCCAAAGTCGTCTTGCAGATGCTTCAGCGTTGCGGAGCGGAGCTCCCGGACTCGGCCTAGTTGCCAGGAGGTAGCCAGTTTCTCTGCGTATTCTGGCGTCGCTTCATGCTTTCTGATTAGGGTGGTAATGATGTAGTCGCGGACAATATCCGGGCCAGCAGAGTCGACGGGGAATTTTCGAGCCATGATGTTCGATCAAGGAGAAGGCGGAAGGAGAGGAGGAGAACTCGTGGTGTGATGTTGCTGCCTGAAATCGAGGTTGTTCTCGGGTTATATAACCGCTAGCCTTATCACGGGGCCGTGTGGTTAAGGATAAGCGCCTTCCTTCTCTTGAGTGATGGTCACGCTCTGCTAAGCGCCGTCCTTTTGGTTAGCCAGTCGGTGGTCGGAAACATGTTCAGTGGGGATTAATCCTGGCGCATATTGCTTCTGCCGGAGTGTGTCTGGATATCGAATGGACGGAAGTGGGGAAAAGGAGAGCGCTTCCATCAAACTGATTAGTGGCCAACAACACTCTTGGTGTGCCTCACTCCGTGCGGACTCCGACATCAAAAGGCCAATGTGAGTGGGTGGTATCTGGGCATCCAAGCGGACTTGCTAACCGAAAGAAGTCTGGTGGGAGACAGACGGATATTGCGGAACGCCTAAGCTGAATGCGGTATGATGGGCTATGGCGTGCCGAGATTAGAGCCATCATAGCTATACCTCTCTGCAATGCCTTACCGAAGCTGCAGCGTAGTATTTGACTATCCTGGGGTTGGTTTTGAGCTTCATGACGATCTTGGACGACACATAATACTCTGCAAAACTGGAGCGTCAATCTTTAAGGAAATGGATACTACTAAGTTACCGTACTGCTGAGGTCGGAGCTCAATGTAGGTAAAGATATATATTTGCACAGACCTAAATTGAACACAGGGTGATAGTATCTGGCACATCAAAGATCACCAATTTAACTACTACTTATGACCGGGGACGCTCGTTCTACAACACATTGCTATAATCAGGCCAGAAAACGCGCCTAACTCATCATGAAATCAGGCGTCATTATACGTCAAGGTGGTTTCCCCTCTCAGACCTATCATAGTTGCCATGCGTCTACACGCGAATTACAAATCGGCCCTTGATGCACGGATTGGAAGTTGACATAACGTAATAGAATAGGTACGTGCATGATGTCTTCAGCTAGTTGACTCTACCAAGGGTTTGCTACTGACCCTGCAAACTAAGTTTCCAAGCACTGTTACAATGCAGTAGAATTGCCCATAACGGGAATGTGTTGCGAATAGGTAGCCTGCATTGCGGGACTTTTCTGGTCTCCTGCATTAGATCGCGGTTAGGGAGTAGCTACAGCTGACCAGTAGTGTTACATGTGATTCTGCAAGCGCAATGCGTTGACCGGCTTTCTGATTCGGATGTCTTGAAGGGCTCGCACACCTATGTACCGGGCTGTGACAGTCTAGTGGGTGAGGGAGATTCTGGATATTTTCAGAAGTATAAGGGTAGTAAAGGAGAGACCAATTGAACCCGTTATGATACTCTGTAATTATATTACTGCTTTTAGACACAAGCGTTGCCAGAATACACTGTATTATAGCTATAACAACAGATGACAAGAAACAAGATAACAAAAATATTCAAGCCTCGAAATTGGTACAGGTTCTAAGCCTCATGAGGCAGTAGTAAGATATACATTCGGCAAGTCCATTGCCTTTATTGAAGCAGTAAAGGGAGTGTTGTGGACCTTGACCATTTCGCCTCGTTATTCGTCGCAGGGCTCACTCAGTCCATCGTTATGTCCCAATTAGACAGCGAGGGCAATGGCAGCAGCAACAGCAGCACCACCGAGAGTGTAGCTGAAGCGCTCCACGCTGGCAGCACCGGTGTAGAGGGAAGGAGAGGCAGAGGCGGAGGCGGAGGCAGAGCCGCTGGGAGTGGAGGAGGCAGAAGCAGAGGAGGGAGAGCTAGGGATGACGGGGCTGGAGCTGGTGGAAGCAGCAGCGCTCTCAGTGGTGGAGGCAGCAGTGGTTGCAGCAGTAGTGGCATCGGTAGCAGAGGCAGCAGAGGTAGCACTGGAGGCCTCGGAGGTGGAGCTAGCGGACGAGGCGGACGAGGTGGCCACGTCCTTGTAGGCATCGACACCCTTCTGGATGGCGTCGGTGATACCGGAAGACAAGGAGCTAGCGATGCTAGACAGAGAGGACGGGACCTTGGAGGTGATGGCATCGGCCAGGTTCTTGGAAGCAGTGTACTGCTTCTGCAGCTGAGCGTAGACAGTGGCACCAGCCCCAGCGGACACGAAGTCGGATTTCTTCGAGATCAGATCATCAATGGTGGTCTGCACCTCCTTGGTGAGGTCCTGAACGGGGCCAGTGATGGTGAGAGCATCAGTGGCGCTGAGCTCAGATCCTCCGTTGACAGTGGAGACACCAGAGTTAATCTCCGAAACCAAGGAGGAAGAGGCGGACTCGACTTTGGAGGGGTCGCCTCCAGAGTAAGAGTTGATGGCCGAGTCAAGAGACTGAACTTGGGTGTTAATGTCGGCAAGGACGCTCGTGATGGAAGCAGCGTCACGCTCGACGAGGGTAGGCTCGCGAGCAACCTTGGTGGGGTTGGCCATGACACTGGTGGCCAACAGAGTGAACAAGGCAGCGGAGAACTTCATCTTGACGGTGATAACGACGGTAGTTGAATAGATATTAAGAGTAGTAGATCTGTTATTATAAACAAAGCTGGAGAACTGAACGAGTGCTTGAGGCTGAGATTGGCTCTGCTGTACATCTACTCAGTGGCCGTGGGTGAGCGTCTTTATATACACCATGGACAGGTTAGAGCTCACATGGGAGGGAACTGCGGCCGAGGCGAGAATGTGGGCCAGGGGAAGATTTCCCTGCAATTTCTGGGGTTGGCCTAATTAGCGTGCTCGAACCGAGACGTCGAGCCTGGTCCATGATACCAGAATTGACTCGTTCCTGAAAAGTGCACTGGTGATCGTCACTGTAATGATTGTTCTGGGCCAATGCGTTTGATTGCAGGGCCGACGCTCATTTCCCCCTTTGAGTGTGGCCGGAACCTTGAGGGTTCTCAGTCCCTGGTTTCCTGGCACATCTTGACCCTATTATTGTCATTGCTGGCACGTTCGGTTGGAATACAGCAATAGTAGTAGATAGAATCGGAGAGAAAATAGTACCTAGCACCTGACCAGCGCAACAAAGTAATCATCGCGAGAAGCAATCAATTTGACTTCGCTGGTAAAAGAACCAGAGCGTGGTGGCGCCACGATGGGCTCTACACCCGGCCCGCCCCCGGATTCTCATTTGTTCGTGAGTGGATGTTAGCTAATGCAGGTCGCCAAGTGTACAGGGAGAAGAGCAGGATAGCGCATCGGAAGTTCAGGGTCCGCGGGGGAGGAAGTGAGACAATGGAGGCCTAGTGGAAGTTAGCGAAGAGGAACTGTTGGAGAGGCCACTAAACGGTCAACCGAGTGCTACCCTCCGGACGCTAAGCGGAGGCCCACCCTCCCCTACCCCGCACCACCTAGTCTCAATATCGAGTCCTCTCGTTGGGCGATCCTCTTCACCTCAACACATTGCGGCAGTACGTCCGCAATCATCAACACTCTTTCTATCGGCCATGGGTCATCTAGAACAATTGATGTGACGCCTTGATATTACTTTCGTCTTCAACTCAGGAACTGCTTCTAATCATACACAGCAATCCTGCACAGCAGTACCAAATTTCAGGTAAGAGCTGAGACGTTTGTTGGTATCCCTTTTCTCCCTACTGGCAGTCGGGACTAACTCCGTGGCAATTCAAGTAGCAAATTATGACTCGCCCATAACTGGACTTTGCCTAATATAGACACATTGTCGGTTACACACCAGAGACGCCTCGAGACTAGTGGCGCATTCTCTAATGAGCTGAGCTAGCTAGTCGGCCCCAATGCCTGGCATATGCTGAGCTCCCCGGTTAGTGCTGGTAGATTGGTCAATTCCCAGACAGTGTCCTACTCCGTTGCTTAGATTGCGCCTCTCAATGGCTGTCATAACTATTACGGGGTCTGTGCCAGACATTATGCCCGCACAATGGAAACTCATTCGTCCTCTACTTTCGCCCAACCTGGCTCAAAATGCAACCTGATCTTCTGGCCTCGGAATCACAATGTGAACAAGAAGAGCTTGGGCACACATTAATCCCTGTGCGGCACATCTGTTCAATAGAACGACATCGCATCTGCCCGTCCCCCTTCCGGGAACAGAGTGGCAAAATACTTGGCTTAGCTACTGCTACCTCAAAACTCGCTCATCACCCTAGCATTGGCCTATGACAAACGTCGTTGACAAACACTTCTATTCCGCGCCAGCTGAAGAGGCTTGGGCCCGAGGCTCCGCTCACTGGCATGTAGCACGAGATCTGAGACGCCAGTAGATATGCTTGGTAGTTTGGGTGCAATTCCATCTCTCAAGAGCGCCATTAAAGATCTGGGACAGTCCGGCGTAAGGAAGTTGTCTTATGATGATGGCAATGTCTCACCCTGGACAACTTGAATGGCTGACATCAGGTACGATCGGCGCTCTTATCGTTGATGGTTGCACAAAGTAGCATTCCAAGTCCAGGTTACGGTCTATTTGATTCAATGTGTCTCAACCCGTATATTAACAATATTGCGATCTTTTGGAACAAATTAATTACTGAACACATTGGTTTCTGGTGGAGAAGCATCAGGGAGAAAGAGACTGCACCCCTGCAAAGTGGCTCGCAGACGGCCCGATCGCAGGATACAGCAGCATTCATTCTCCCGCAAGGGAGCGATTCATCAGACGTGTTGGCTGTCACGCAATGCTGGCCAATGCTACATGATTCGCATAATCACGCTGCATTAAACATAGTAGTAGTATAAGGCAAGAGACAAGCACGGTACATGATCTGCCATCTGCTCTCAAAAGCCCTCAACGCCCAGCAATTTTGTTAGGTCTTTTACTCAGAAGACTTTTTCATTCATATTAGTTGTGGCACCCAGCGTCTCATAAGAGATGATCATGCCCGCAAAAGGGTAATTTTCACTTGTTGGCAGATTGTTCTCAAAAAGTGGGCTCCCGCACCATAAGTAGGATTGAGTTAACGTTTGACTTTAGTTGGATGAAAACCTTAAAATTGATCGCTCAGTTCGGAAACTTGGAAGCGAATAGGCTACATTCATCCAAGTATCTGGATGCTTTCTATTTCTGGTGGCAGAGCCTCTTGTGGTTTGACTTTCCCGTGGTGACCCTACCTGCTTATATTGGTTGGCGCAGGATGTGGTTGAGAGATATCTGGTTCTGAACCTGACGATCGTCATCTTGAAACCAGTGGTTGATTGCCCGGCAACTAAGTACAGACTCATTCGACGGTTTTCTCGGCCTGCTAAGCGTTTTAATCTTCCTTCAAAGTTGTTTGTCCTCATTCCTTGATCTCAAACATGCAAATTGACTTTTTCGCGATGTTTCTTCTTCAGTTTCGTATTAGCATTTTCCGACTCCCTCTATTGAGACGGCCCATTAGACACATTGGGGTCTATTCATCCCAGATGGCTGTTAGAAGGCTATATACTATCCAGATTCCTCCCCACCGCTGTGCACGTTTGGGGCGATTGAAACCTCCAGAAAGATGCATAGGAAAGAGGCTTGGTCTTCTCTATAAACATTCTTTGCGTCTCTTTGTTGCGTTATTATCGACACGTTGATAGCCTGGCTTTCCTCCCTTCTCTCTCCTCCCAATACTAATATGGTTCTGACACAGCAATAACTTGAGTTCGCTCTGCATATATCGTCGGCTTTGAAACAGTGCACCTCCGAATAAACGTTCGACCCTTTACTGTTGTCCATGGGTGATCAGAGAGAGAGGAAGAAACTCATCGGCGACTTGTTGTTGCCTGCCCACACATGGAAAGGAGACCACCGCAGGTGCTACACCTCTGCAGGTGTCAATATCGGCATTACTTCCTACACCAACGGCGGTGCACTCTATGAAGTTCACGCGATGAAAGCTACAACAGGGTGTTGGCATGCGGTATAGTTTGTATATGACCAAAGGGTGCTAGTAACTCACCAAGTAAGCGGGTTAGAGTAAGTTGTAAGTCGCCGGGTTTAGTAGATTATGCCATATAACTGTTATGGTGATTTATCAGCTGCAAACGTATTAAGAACAATACAACCACCAACTTCTGTGGGTACTACACAATTACCACTACTAAGCTTGAGGGTCGCAGTTCGAATTCTGTGAGATAAAAATTGCGATACCGGGTAGTAAAATTTACACATACATGATTCCAGCTTCTTTGCCTGCGCATCACATTGCTTTGTGTATCAGTGAAGACACCACAAAGGTCTGATTGTGCTTTATTCTGGGCCATTATTGTAATGACCAGTGGGAGTTGATATACAAGCCATGCATTACTGTGTTAGTGTGAATCGTAGGGATAAAGGGTCAACAATGTGTACTTGACTTCTGACTCCCAGGTGATCAAAGATTGAACTAATATAGCCCAGTCAGTAGTAACACCCGAGTGACTGGTGACCCAAATGAACTGATTTACAATGACTTTACTATTAGTACCACAGGTTGTAGACAGACATTGTCCTCAGACTTACCATTAAAGACAAATAACGCACCAAATCATAGTACACTTGAAAGTAAAGTGCCGAGAAACCTCTTTCGATCCACCCGACACATTCTTCACTCTATAGTAATAAGCGGGCACTTCCCTTTCGAAGCAACTTACCAAATAGGCTTAGCGCCGCCTGTGGTGTTTATCGACCCCACTACATGCTTCTGCTCCCTTATATCGCTCACACACATCTCGCCATATCATCGTCGCCTACCTCCTAACTGAAATCTTCTCCTTAACCTAAGACTTTCACTCAATCGGCTACACAATGGCGGGTGCTAAGGAAACATCTACTACACCCCAGCAAAGAAAACGAGCTCCCAAAGGACGTCGTACTACTGGCCCTGTTGCCGTCGGCGGCAATAACAGTGTTGCAGGACAGGAGAATACCTCACCGCAGAAGAAGACCAGTAAAAAATCCAAGAAAAGAAAGGGTAAGAGACGGGGACGGGGACATGACAAGATGGTGCCCTCCGAGCCTGCAGAAAGTGTTGACCCTGTCAAAAAGACATCGCGGAGTGAGAATAGGTAAGTATCCGTTCTATGGGTAGCCAGGAGCATAGCACTGATGCTTTCGATATAGGCCTTTATCTACCACTTCAAGGGTGGGATCATCGCTAGCTGGCTCTCCTAATGAGCTGTCAGCCACCCAAATGCAAAGTTTCCTTGAAGCTGGCCTAGCTATGATCGACGAGTCACCGGACACACGCAGGACATTTGTTGAAAGTCTGGCCACCGAGTCTGGTCTTCGCAAAGTTCGGCAGATAGTTGAGACTCCATTCGCAATGACTTACAGCGTTCTGAAGCCTATGTTTGATCCACATTGTATATTGTTCCTTCGACTGGTCTCTCACAATGAGCTACTATCGTCACTTATACTTGAGAAGGCTGTGGGGACAATCTACAATGTCATATACGGTCCCGGTGGTCGAAGGGCAGTTGGGTTCTTCACAAGAATGACAGACTTTCTCGCCCAGGTCAAAACCGATGGCAGACATCAGAGTTCTGTCCAGTTTGGTGCTGCGCGAAGCGAAGTGATGTCTCTAGTTTCGAGGGTACTTCTCAGTACTTTGACCTTGAACCACGAGGCTGCAATACAGGTAAATCTCAGGAGCATTGCTGGCAGGATTTACGACTGCTGTCATGCCGATAACGCCGACGCCGGGGCCGGCGATGACAGCTTGCAGTGGGCATACGAGAACATACTCAAGATTCAAGACATCCTTGCTATGGGGGACTCGATTTCTATATCACAAAAGCCCGATAATTTGCAAACCATCAGAACCAATCTGAAAGGCAGCACGAGGCATATTGTTGACCTCCCCGGCGAACTATCTGAGCTTGGCCCTCGCCATGACAATGACAAATCGGCCATCTCAGATATTCAAATTCTGCCTACAAAATCGGAGATACTGAATGCTGACCGACCTGAGTTTCTCCCTGCACGATGCGCTACTGATTCCCCCATTTTGCATCACGAGCGGGGCATCCGTCGACTTCTCGATAGTCAATTCCGCCTTCTACGGGAGGACACATCCGGTTTACTTCGCGAAGGTATACGATTAATCATACACACATGGGAACTGATTGTTCACGGAACAGACTGGCGACTGAAGCGCAAGTTCCTTCGTGACAATATGCCAACTCCGGTCCGGGTTTATTCAGGAGTCGAAATTCGACAAATAAAGTCAGGGCAGTTCAGAGGGATCGAAGTGGACTTGGAATTTGATCAGCTTTCTAGACTGAAAAATGTAAGCTCAGCAAAACGAAAACAGTGGTGGTTTGACTCAAAGGCGTTAAAAAAAGGATCAACCCTGCTGGCTTTGTTAGACGCAGAGGATGTGGATGACACATCCGCGATCTACTTCCTTGTCTCGAAGAGGGAGACCAGCTATATCGAAAAAAGCAAACAGGGCTCTGTTCCGGCCGATCGTGTCAACGATGTAGTTAGCGATGGCAACAGAGCCATGGTTACACTGGGGCTAGTAGGATCACCCAATCCGCAAGACTTGGAGAAGCTTGTTTTGTTTGCGAGGAGCAATCCCTTTCCCCGACCACTCATACTCGTGGAATTTCCAGCCATTCCGTACAATTCTTTTGAGGGTATTCTGAGATGTCTTCAGGTGCTACATCAGAACCCAGCACGCATGCCATTTACTGCATGGCTAGCCCCGAGTACCGATAACCATGAAATGCATGAAGCTCTGACGGAAGGTAGCACCGACGCTGGCAATATCAGTATACAACCCCCTGCATACTTCCGAAACAACCTATTACTCGACCTTTCTTGCCTCCGAGGCCAAGGCGATGTTGAGGACGCAAGTCAGATACTGTCTATGTCTCTTTCCCACGATCCTAAGATACTTTCCGCAGACCTCTCCAGGGTAACTGATTTGGACGAAGGCCAGGCAGACGCGCTCATTTGGGCACTACGGCGGAAGATAGCTTTGATTCAAGGCCCCCCAGGGACTGGAAAATCATACGTAGGGCTACAGCTAGCTCGATGTCTGCTGTACAACAAGGATATGCTGAACCTGGGCCCGATACTATGTGTGTGCGTGAAAACTCCCACCTTCTAGTCCAGACAGTACTATATACTAACTTGTAAGTCGCAGATGCTACACCGCTCACGCACTTGATCAATTTCTCGATGGGCTTCTTAAATCGGGTGTTACCAATATCATCAGGATTGGCCCTCGCAGTTCCTCTCCACACATCGAGAGTCTCTCATTGGAAATAAGAAAGCAAGAGCCTGGACCCCGAATTAAGGGTCTTCCTAGGATAAAGGATGAATCGCGAGTGAAGCTACTCAGCATAAGCTCAAGAATTGACGAACTCCTGAAGCAAGCCCAGAGCGGCTGTCACAGTCTCGTTCTTGGGGTTCTGAAGAAAAGGTTCCCCTCCCACTCCAACCGCATAATTTCGGGGTCTCCTGGCCAAACGGACACGAATGCATTACAAGAGTGGGTTTCTGGCGATGCTCCCGGAGACTGGAGCGATGCTGATATTGTGCGCTCTATTGACCAACTCCTGCAGGAGGACGTCTGGACGCTCAAGGCTTCTGAGCGAACCCGTCTCCTTAGTTACTGGCAGGAGGCGGCTCTCACAGAGATCAGTCAACAAGTATTGACACTTCTAGAAGCTCATTCAGCAGAAAAAGAGCGATATACCTCAGCGTTCAACATGTCGGATGTGCAACGCCTGAACGACTGTCAGGTCGTAGGCGTAACTACTACCCAACTAGCAAACAATGCCGATTTGCTCCGAAACCTCGATGCAAAGGTGCTCATATGTGAAGAGGCAGGAGAGGTTCTTGAATCGCATGTCCTTACTGCGCTATTACCTTCAATCCAGCACGCTATTCTGATAGGAGATCACTTGCAGCTACGTCCACGCATCTCTAACCTTAGGTTATCAATGGACTATGAACGGGAGAACCCAAAGTACAACCTCGATGAGTCATTGTTTGAGCGGCTAGCGAACTCCCGGTTCGGAGAATCAACATCGAGTGGAGGTGGACAGAACCAGCAGGAATATAGCTTCCCGGTGATGCAGTTGAGCCATCAACGGCGGATGCATCCATCCATTTCTGAACTGGTCCGCGAGACTTTATATCCGAAGCTCCAAGATCATCCTACAATGGCCTCATATCCCCTTGTACCTGGAATTGCTCACAGATTGTATTGGCTCGACCACCGTCACTTGGAAGATCCGACTGATCCTACAGAGCCAATGCAAAGCAAGACGAATACGTGGGAGATTGGAATGGTAACTGCATTGGTGCGACATCTCTGTCAACAAGGCAAGTATGGGCCCGGCGAGATTGCCGTATTGACGCCATATGTTGGACAGTTGAGAATGCTCAAAAATGTCCTGGAAAAGGAAATGACCCTAATAATCAGTGAAACGGACTCAGATGTACTCGATGAACCTGAGGGGTTAGAAGTGAGTGGATCCTCTACTACGCATGGAAAATGGGGCGCAAAGCAGAGGGCCCCTCAGAAGGGGAGCCTTCTAGATGTCATTCGATTGGCTACGGTCGACAATTTCCAGGTAGGAGATAACCAAAATCTGCAAATAATAGGTCTAACACAATTTCTACCAGGGCGAAGAAGCCAGTGTCGTTATTGTCTCCCTTGTTCGCAGCAACAAATACCGAAATTGTGGGTTTCTGAAGATGCCAAACAGGATCAACGTACTGCTCAGGAAAGTATTACACAGGGATGGTACTCATTGTACAGATGCTGACTTGGTCTCCAGCCGTGCCAAACATGGCATGTATATTATTGGCGATGCAAGTACGGCATCAACCGCGCCCATGTGGTCATCCGTTATTCAGCTACTGGAAAAAGGCGCTAATATTGGCCGGAGACTTGAGTTGCGTTGCGATCGTCACCCGTCCAAGGGGTTTTGTGTTTCTTGCCCGAACGACTTCACCATACATGCCCCTGAAGGTGGATGTGCGGAAAAATGCCGACTAAGGCTAGACTGTGGGCACACCTGTGCTGTGAAGTGTCATTCAGAAAGACAACACAAAGCAGTGAAATGTATGGAGCTGTGCACTCGGATGAAAGAATGCGGCCATACGTGTCCAAAGAAATGTCATGAACAATGTGGGGAATGTCTGCAGGTGGTCCATAATGTCCTCCTCCCCTGTGGGCATTTAGCGGAGGCCGTGGAGTGCAGGCAAATGGGCAATCTCGCAAAGGTGCGGTGCACTAAGCGCGTTTCCCGCACTATGGATCGCTGCGGCCACATTGTCGAGATATGCTGCTTTGAAAATGATGGTGCAGTGAATTGCTTTCATCTGTGTGACAGCCCCCTGTCTTGCGGGCATACCTGTCGACGTCTATGCTGGCAGTGTAGATACACAGAGGGCGAGTCCTACCACATTGATCATGGCCGTTGCCGAAACCCATGCGGCCGGGGATTCTCGGCTTGCTCGCACAGCTGTGGCCAACCATGCCATCAGGGTGAACCCTGCCCGCCTTGTAATTTGACATGCGAAGTGCGCTGTCGGCACAGCCGTTGTGCAAAGACGTGCAACGAGCCATGTTCCCCATGCGCAGAGACATGTGGGTGGGGCTGTGAGCATCGCGAACAGTGCAGCATGCCATGTGCTGTCCCATGTAACAACATTCCTTGTGATTTGCGATGCAAAAAGATAATCACAAGTTGTGGACATCAATGCCCTGGTATCTGTGGGGAACGTTGTCCAGATCCTCGGTTCTGCCGGCTATGCTGTGGACCAGAAATTCTGGAGCAGAAGGTTGATCTCATCGAGCTCAAGGCGTACAAAGACGTGGATATCGACCAAGATCCATTGGTATTCCTCTCCTGTGATCACTTCTACACAGCGTCCTCACTGGACGGCATAATGGGGATGTCTGAACATTATGAAGTGGAATCATCTACAGGCAGGATACTTGGTCCGAAACTTACACACCGATTATTGGAGTCTGGGCGTCCAAAAGGGTGTCCTCAATGCCGTGCACCACTTCGTGATATCGATCGCTATAACAGAATTATCAAACAAGCATTCCTCGATGAAGCAACGAAAAAGTTCGCCACTCATGCAAGCTTGAAATTTAGTCACCTGCTGGAAGAGGTTGAGGTCTGTGAGAAAGATATCGAGCGCGAAAAATCGGGTTTTGTATCTGAATGGTTGCAGGAGTCAGTCGGGACAAGAAGTGCTGACGAGGTCAAGCGCTCGGTTGAAGCTTATCGTGGAAGGGGAAACAGACTGTTGGGCAAAATCAAGGAGTTTACCAAATCTGTGGCAAAATCTGAGCAGCCGTTTGGGAGGGTCAGTGAGATACTCGCGTCAGCAACAGCGAGGAAGGCTGGCATTCCTGCAACACCATTCCAATACAGTGAATCGTATATCCAAACCGGGTTTCAATCGCGCGGCCACATTCTCGCACTTCGACTCACCTGGGTTCTTTTCTGGAACTTTGACACCATCTACAGCAACAAGCGAATTGACCCACACGTCAAGATGATTCTGGCCCAAGTGGTAACGAATCAGATTAGTGGTCTACTGAGTCGATGTGAAGCTCTGGCAAGGGATTGCCAGAAGGCTAAGTTTCTGCAGCAGGAGGTAGAGTCCCGAACGTATTATGCTCTGTTCTCAGTGCTGTTCCTTAGCAATCAGGAAGCACGCGGTAGCCCTGTCGAGGGATCCACTGAAAAGGAGATACGGGAAAAGGCACTGAAAGAGCTGAAAGACTGTGATGTGATTTGTTTGCGCCATTCCCAAATTCTATGGTCTCTCCGCGAGGATATCGAAAAAGCAAGAAGACTAGTTAAAGGCGGAACATTCTACAGCTGCGTTACCAGCGAAGAAAGACGGCAGGTGTATCAGGCCATGGCGGCACAATTCAACGGTACAGGCCACTGGTACTATTGTGAGAACGGGCATCCGGTATGTGATCTCACCATCAATTCTTGTCGAGTACTAACTTGGATTGCCAGTTTGCGGTGGGAGAATGTGGGATGCCGATGGAAGAAAGTCGCTGTCCGCAGTGTGAGGCGCCAGTGGGCGGGCTCAATCATGAGTTTGCTCAAGGGATCCGCAGAGCAGATGACATGGATGTGGAGTTTGGCGGTTCCCCTTCTCTCGAGGCGGACGCAGACTGGTAAGCTGCCAATCATATGATCTTGATATTGAGGTCGTTCAAGTGTATGCACATGCGAGAGATGTTTCTGTAGTATATTGCGCCAGAAGCTAGTTAGCAGAATGATCATCGGCTTCGCGATAGCAAGGAGGTAAAGTAAGACATGAACCCAACCGCTATGGTAGCAATAACTGTTACATAGCACTCAACAGCTCTGAGTACCTCTGGATGTAATTACTATAGTTGATAGAGTATTGATTTTCAAGAAGCATGCAGCATAAACTCTTCCAGCTATCTTCCAAGTCCGAGTGCAACCCGATGCGATGCGGGATTTTTGACAGTGCATCCACGTCACGCACTGCCACCCCAGCGAGTATCATTTACCCATGTCGAAGTGGTTGCGATGGCTACAGTGTATCTAGACTCTCAAAAACCGGGATTATACCAAGGAGTGGCTGCAATGTGCTGGCCAGCCTTATCGGGCGGGCATCCATTGTGAGTGGGATGGCGTGCAACGTGTCTCGCCTCGCGTCGGCGGCATCTTCTTCCACTTCCCCTCCCCACTGCCCCTCCATCCTCATCCCCTCGATCGGCATCCACGTCGACTGGCGGGAGCAAGCTGCAAGCTTTCGGAACCCAGGTATGAACCTGATACGCCAGATGTGTTGCTCTGAAGTCTAATGCAACGCTGCAGCTTCCTTTCATGCTCCCAGCTTTCATCAAGGTGCTGCCTGCTTGCTTTTTTCTATCGACAGGGATAGCAATGGCGTTAATGGTGCAGAGACTGATGTGACCGACATAGCTGGGTGTAGTATGCAGCAGGGAATAGTCGTACCTCCGGAACAGAAGGGCTTTTACTACGGTTTCACGAGACTTGAGCTTGGCAGTGTCTGGTGGCCAGTACCACCCGTTGATCGCTGTCTTCCCTTGAACAATCGATTTCTCCTTCTGGACTACACCATACTGGCGGGTTATCGACACTAGCAGATGGAGGTGTCAACAGCTGCAGGTCGATAGGTTCAGGCATTGCTACATGCAGCTACCTTGGAGTACCCCGCAGTCACCATCTACCAATCTCCTAGGCCATACATCGTGTCAATCAAGAGAAACGTGCATTATCCAGCTTTGGTCGAATAGTGATGGATGGCGTCGGATGCATGCTGTACGTTGCAATGCCCAAACTGAGGTCACCCAACAGATGCGTCTGTGATAGCCAGGCTATGGCTATCGCGCATATCGTGCAAAATAGGACTGGAAGAATGTTATGGAATGGGCAGGTCGAAGAACATAAAAGGCTTCAAGAGCCAGCTGCTCTCTTATCATCTACAACTCCATCTCTCTTCCTAATCTACAAGCTACAAGCCTCGATTCTCCGCCACCATGCCTCAGGACCTTAAGGTACGAAAACACGCATCAGCCTTGCTTCAGCTACTGATGCTCATAGAACGCCCACTATTCCTATGGCTACCTCCATGGGTTGAGGGAGAAGTACGAGAAGTCGGTAAGGGTTCCTCGACACCCCGGTGTGCTCACGTCTAACTGTCACCTAGGCTCAGGACTTCTGCCGTGAGTATCTCCAGAGATGTGAGTTGATGGGATATTAACAGCAGCAGGCGGTATGACCTTTGAGGACGCCCTTGCCCATGTCAACTCGACCGGCCGCACAGACTTCACCCGGGAACAGTTGGAGGCCTTTGACACCAACCATGACGGCAGCATCAACTTTGCTGGTGAGTGTCTTATGCATTTCTCGAGAAATGCTGCTAACTGAAATAGAATACATGGAATTGATGCTCAACAACGACAAGGAGCTCGCGTTCCGTAATGCCAAGTTCATCGCTTAGATTGGGAGGATCGGCCGGCGCTGTATATAGGCCGCGATATAGCATGAATAAATGATTATGACAACTATATCTATGTCTTCGTCGTTTGAGTCCGCTACAGACTCTGTACTGTGTAATCGCATTTTCATCGTCGCTCTCGTCTCCGAGATTAGTAATAACACTTCCTGATGTCAACATTCAAAACACAGCATTCCACAACATTCAAATGATGTCATGTCTCAATCCCTAACATCTTGCTGAAACAGGTACCGCTCTGTGATTTCATCGAGCAAACAATATAGTAGAAAGGTCACCCTTGCATTTGGTATGATACTATTGGCGGCATCCAGTGTTGATCGTATTCAATATGACCAGTAGTCTCCACTTCAACAGTGGGTTTGCGATAGCCAGGCATCGGCAGTATTTCCTGCAGAGCATTTACACTTCTTCATCTCACTTCACTTGTCCCTGCTCTCACTACATCTTCAATTTCACAAAGTTACAGACATCATGTGGCTCTCTCTCGTGTGCAGTATTCTGCTGCCACTTGGGGTAGTCAACGCACAGTCTCAGTGCCTCAATGACAAAACCAAAGGTACACCACATCGCGTCAGTTCGAATTCCACTAACAGCACTAGAATTCGTCGTCAATGGGTCTGCCCTTCCTTTCGTCGATTTCGACATTGGCGAGTCCTACGCGGGCTACCTCCCCAACACGCCATCTGGCATCTCGAGCCTATACTTTTGGTTCTTTCCTTCTACCGATCCTATTGCGTCCGATGAGGTATATTGACCCCATTTCATTCTCTTCCATGGCTAATAAACAGATCACCGTCTGGCTGAATGGAGGCCCAGGATGCAGCTCCCTGGCAGGCATCATGCTCGAGAACGGTCCCTTCCTATGGCAACCTGGCACCTACAGACCCGTGCGCAACCCTTATTCCTGGAACAACCTCACCAACATGGTGTACATTGATCAGCCTGCTGGAACGGGATTCTCGCTTGGCCCGTCTACAGTGGTCTCGGAATTCGATGTAGCGAGACAGTTTATGGACTTCTGGAGGCGGTTCATGAAAACGTTTGATCTGCAGAATCGAAAGATCTATCTCACCGGCGAGAGTTATGCGGGGCAGTATATTCCATATATCGCCTCGCAGATGCTGGACCAGGAAGATGATAAGTGTTTCCGGGTTGCCGGCATCCAGATCAATGATCCCTATATCAATGAGGTGCCAGTTTTGCAGGATGGTATGGTGCCCCTGCCACAGGCTATTATTTACTCGACTAACTTTGAATGCAGTGCCTGCCGTTGCGACCGTCAATCAGCACCGCTCCCTTTTCCCCTTCAATGACACCTTCATGAGCCAAATCACCCAGCTTTCCGACGACTGTAGCTACACTTCGTTCCTAGAAGATGCCCTTACCTTTCCACCCCTTTCTAAATTGCCATCAGTGCCCTACAATGCCAGCTGCAACACCTGGGAAACCATAATCAACGCCTCGCTAGCTCTCAACCCATGCTTCAACCGCTACCACATCCCCGACTTCTGTCCCACACCGTGGAACCCAGTCGGGGGTCCGGTCGTCGGCCAGGGTCCTTCCAACTACTTCAACCGCAGCGACGTCCAGAAAGCTATCAACGCTTACCCAACGGACTATTTCGTCTGCAAGGATGGAATCTTCCCGACGGCCGACGGACTGGATACGTCTCCTCCGAGCTCCCTGGGACCGCTGCCGCGCGTCATCGAACAAACCAACAATACCATCATCGCGCACGGCTTGATGGATTTTGAGCTCTTGGCGCAGGGAACCCTGATCAGTATCCAGAATATGACCTGGAACGGGAAGCAGGGGTTCGAGCGGGAGCCAGCGGAGCCGTTGTTCGTGCCGTATGGTGGACCATCGGGAGGAGGTATATTGGGGACAGCACATACAGAGCGTGGATTGACATTTTCGACAGTGTTCAGCTCAGGACATGGTATGCCCCCCGACCCAGTATGCGATGAAGCGGATTACTAACTGCAATAGAAATCCCAGAATATACACCGGGAGCAGCATATCGCCAGCTAGAGTTTCTGCTGGGGAGGGTCGCGAATCTGTCAGTGGGATGACCGGAGACAGACAACAATAAAAGCAAAAACCATAATTGCAGGCAATAATTGAGCAGGTGCAGGTGACGGAGCAGAATGGTCGAGCTGTCAGATCGGATAACTGCTCGGCAATGAGAATAGTGAAGCTAGACTAGCTCTGCTGAACTTTGCTTCTCCACCTCAGCTATCGCCATCATAATCCAATCATCACTGCAATTCTACCTTGATCCCCTTATCGTAGACCCGTAAATCCGACAAACAATATACTAGATATGACATTTTGATCCAAGGCCAATCAAGTTCTCCTATAGGATATGGTATCTTAATGATCGACATCATCGATCCGACCTCGGATCGGAAATTCCCCCAAACTCTGTGCCGCGCTGCTGGGTCCACCCCGCATCTTCACAATCAAAAATTAAAGATTTCCCCTCAATTAATTAATCCCTTCTCCATCTTCCACATTCCTTATTCCCTCCCATACCAACTTTTGCTTTTTGTATAATTATCTATTGACATCCACAATGTCACCAACATCCATACCAACCCACCAAACCGCCGCCTGCATCGACAATCCCAGTCCGGGCGCGACCCTCACCATCCGCCATGACATTCCCGTTCCGGTGCCGGGAGCGGGGGAGGTTTTGGTCAAGTTGGAGTATACGGGATTTTGGTAGGGAGCCACAAAATATGCTTCAATTTAGAACTGCGCTGATGGAGTCTGTTGAATTGGATAGTCATTCCGATCTGCATAATATTAATGGGGACTTGGCCATGACGACGAATGTGCCGGGGCATGAGGGGGTGGGGAGGGTTGTGAGAGGTAAGAATGCTGAATGGGATTATAATGGGAATTGCGACTGATGTGGTGTAGTTGGACCTGATACTCCGGTTGAGATGATGGGGAGGAGAGTTGGTGTGAAGTATATCATCCTGAATTAAAGATCGGCGCTTTGGTGGGAGAGACTAATGAGGTGTCTATCTAGATGGCTGTATAAGACCTGCATGAAATGTCCGACGTGCAAGGTGCAGTATACGAATTGTCGGAATCAGGATAATTCGGGGAGGGTTAGTATTTTCCACCCTAGTTTACCTTCGGAATTGATGCTAATTATGGTGACAGAACGTTCCTGGGACGTTTCAACGTGAGATATCTGCTATCCCATACGAAGAGGATATATTCAGCTTATACTGGCATAGAATACGTCGTGTCTCCCGCAAACTTTGTCTCTCTGATTCCAGAGGATCTGAATCCTGAAGCTGTGGCGCCATTGCTATGTGGTACGTTTTCACTTCCTTCAACAAGAATACTACTAACGGGTTAGCCGGCCTCACCATGTACGGCGCACTCAGCAAGGTAGAGAAGTTGTATGAAAAAGGAGATTGGGTGGTTATTATGGGTGCAGGTGGTGGACTGGGCCATTTGTATGCTTTCCGTGCCGATACCGCGGACAATAGCTGAAATGTGTATAGGGGCCTTCAAATCGGCAAAGAAATGGGATACAAGATGATTGCAGTAGACAGGTATGTCTCTTCCTATTTCCATTAAACAGCACTAACATCTCCCAGTCCATCCAAGAAAGACCTCTGTCTCGCATCCGGTGCATCCGCCTTTTTCGACTTCAAAGATGACAACGTACACCCCTCCCTTTTCCGGCTAGTTTGCATATAGACTGATGCCTAACCAGTTAATCCACAACATCCAATCCCTAACCGACGGCGTCGGCGCCCACGCCGCCCTCATCGTCGTCGGATCCGAAAAAGCCTACGAGCAAGGCGTTGCTCTTCTTCGTCCGCTGGGCACGCTCGTATGCGTGGGCTTTCCCCGTCCGGACTTCCATGTGCCTGTGGCACCGCATTACTGCGTGGACTATGGACTGCAGATACTCGGTAGCGCGGTGGGTACGGAGACGGAAATGCAGGCATTGTTGGAGATGGCGAGGGCAGGGAAGGTGTCGACTCATTACGAGGTGTTTGATCTCGAGCAGATTAATGACGTCGTGGCGAAGATGAGACGGTATGCGGTTAGTGGGAGGGCAGTGTTGCGGATTCCGGAGGCAGCGGTTGCGAGGATGTAACTGTACAGTAGATGTTAAATGTACTCAATGGCACGTATGGTGTATACCAAATCTTATTCCAGCTAAGTACATCTAATCAATAGTATCAACTAACCAAACATCAACTGACCCAGATAGGATACTCAGTATCTCCACCTCACTCCCAAAACCCCCGCTCATCTCACCCTATCCAAATCAACTCACTCACTTAAAGCCCCCCAAAAAACGACGCCAACCCACCCGCCGCCGACGAACTACTCGCCGCATCCGAGCTAGAACTAATAGTAGTAGTACTCGTACTCGTCGACGACTGAACCTTCTCCGCCAAAAAGCTCGCCGCATCACCCGCATCCAACCCATACGTCAAATGCATAGCGGTAACAATCAACGTATCATCACAGACGAGATCACCCACAGCACAATAAACCTTGACATCATCCTTGGGGTAGTTAGGGATCTGTCCATGGTCTTGCACGTTTCTCGTGAACCCGAAGAGCACCACACCCTTCACTTGGTCTTTGACCGTCGTGCTGAGTTCTTGGACTGCGTTGTCGATTACGGCGCTTCCTTGACTACACATCCCATCCCCGAAGGGGATTATGTTAGCATTGTGCCGCAGGCAATGATATCTAAATGGGGAGGGGGAAGGGGTACCTATAACCACCCGCGACAATCTTCGTATTCGGACACTTCGAATTCGCCTCCTCGAACATCTGCTTCGCGGCAGAGATACTCCCCGGATCAGTGTTCTGGGGTAGCGCATTCTGCACCAGTCCGGCGCTGTATTGTCCGCCGACACCCTGGCAGGCGACTTTGTCGGATCCGAGTTTGGATTTTAGGCTGTCGCAGAGGGGAGGGCCGATTACGGTGCCCTATACCATTATTATTATTTATATTAGCCTCTTTCTTCAAAACTTCTTCCTTTCTTTGTTTATCATCGGAGGTAGTATTTCCCCGGAATTGGGATATGGGTAGAAAAAGGTTGGGACATACCATATTCCCCAACTCAGTCGACCCTCTCGCAAAAATCAACGTCACATCCTTGCAGCTTCCCTGCTCGAGTTCGTTGGCTGTAGAGCCTGTGCCGAATTGGCGTGCGTAGAGGGATGCAGGGTCGGATGCTAGTGGGGTGGAGATGGCTAGGCTGGCTAGGGAGGCGGTTAGGAGGAGGGATTTGAGGGGGGCCATTGTATTTTATTTTATTTCCTTTTTTGTTTTGAGAAGAAAGAAGAAGAATTAATGTGTGTGTGCTGCGCTGCAGACTTGTTGAATAGAAATTAGGATAGTGGTAAAGAAGGCGTGAGAATGAAAGAGGGAGTGAGTGAGTGAGTGGACTGGCTGCTCGAGTCTGAGTTTGAGTCTGTCTGGGGGATCTACTACATACTTATATACATCTATCCATAGAATGGATCAACTACTACATCTACTGCTAGTAAGTTCTACTAAGTGAAAACAAGAAGATTCCGAGGTTAGTCTCCCTCCCTCCAGAATACTCCGTATACCTTGTGTTAGGTAGGGCAAGACAGGGCAAACAGGGTCCGACGCAAAAATGAGTCGAGATGAAACAAAACTAGTACTTAGTAGTGGTAGACCCTTATACACAGTCCACTATCTAACGAACTAGCAAGTATACCCCGGGCTCAACAGTGGGAAAACTGTTTCAGGGGATCGGCCGCTTTTCTACGCTGGGAATAGTCCCGCGGAAAACTAGAACAAACCAGGGTTCGATCCCACTATTATTTGTTGTATTCGTTAGGGTTCCTCCGGAGTTCATCCGACGTGTGTCCGTTCATCCACTAGATATCCAATCCAGGGTCCAGGGCCCTGTTACAGGTTAGTTGCCTGCCTTGGGCAGGTATGTGGGTTAATCAACCTGTAGCGGGTGGCTTTTCCACCGTAAACTCAATTTCTATCTTAACCCTCGTATTCTTGTCAATGGTATAGACTAGGCACCCACGTTCACGATCAACACAACCGTTGTTTCGTTTTAGTTGGGTGGAAAAGCTTGTCGGTTTGATCTGGTTTTTGGGTCGAGCGTCTTTGCCGAGGTTGGATGAGGGGATCGTCAGGGACGGAATTGTTGACTGTCTGACTGTTTGTGGTTGTGGTTGTTATCTAGGAAAAGGTTCTTCTGGAATGCCGTCTTTTTCTTCCGAAAGGATCAATATTTGGTTTCGGGTGGAGAGGACTTCACTAGGATTAACTGTCCATCAATCAATTGGAATCATGATCGTGATCACGTCGAATGTCTACGACTTAGGTTAATTGAAACATGCCGGTCTATCGTCTTCTCAATTTCTGATCTTGTGCTATCCACTACACATTAATTATCTTCTAGTCCTGCCATTATCTGGATATCCCGGAAGGTCCTCAACGTGCCGTGTGCATTTCAACGGTCTGTCTCTGACACCATCTGTGTCAGGCTCAATTCCCGCCGTCCACATGCTTGGTCAATGTCTCGATGAAAGACTCGCCCCATTTCGCACTAGTGTTCGTCTCGATAAAGTGCCGCAACGTTTCATACCGACACTTGCGATCCTCGTCACTCATCGTGACCGCTTGGTGAATCGCATCAACCATCTCTGACATATTCGCCGGATGGAAAGTAAGACATCCCTCCTTCATAAAAGACGCCGCGCCGGCAAACTCGGATAGCAGGAGCACTCCATGTCGCTGCGCCTGGCATGCAACGTACTCGAACGAAACAAGGTTCATCCCATCCCGCGTCGAGGTCAGTAAGCAGGCGTCGGCAACCGAGTACAACGCCGTCAGTTCGCTGAAGTTGACGGACCGGTGCATGTAGATCAGTGGACAGCCATCGGCGGTAGCTACATCGTCAGCACCAGTAGATAACATCAAAGCATGGGGTACTCACAATGCTTGCCGTTAATCCTCCCAGCCATCGTACTCAACTCTGTCTCCAAGTCTTGATACTCCTTCACATCCTCCCGACTAGGCACCGCC